TTCCCCCCCCCCCTTAAAACTTAAGAAAACATGAAAATATAGGGGTATGAAATCACCTTCTGTGTTCTTAGTGGATGGATGTTGATGAAAAGAAGTGTTCAACTCAAGAACACTTAGAAGATGCCTTGAAGAATCGAGAACCTAACATGAAGGAGACAATTTTTGTGTAAGATTTCTATGATTTTTGAGTAGAAGGATGAGTAATAATCATAATAAAGATGATGAAACTTACCAAATGAAGGAGAAAAGCCTTTGAGTATGCCTCGAAGTTCTCGAAATTGAGAAAGAATGATGAGAGAGTCTGGAGGTTGATTCTTGGTGTAGAATGAGAGAATGAATGAAGTGTGAGGAGAGAGGGTGGATGTTCTACCTCTAAGAATGTGGGAAATGGTTGGAAATGATGAGAAAGTATATTGACATGACCTAGGTATGGTGGGAGGAGTGTGGCTGGTCATGGGGTGGGTATGGGTGGTTGCTTGTGTCATAAACTAAAGAAAAGTCAACACTCCACCTCTTATACTTCACCCACTCTTCTTGGATAAGATTTACCCCTAAAAACATGGTTTATTAATAAATATAGGGACTTATATGTTAAAATAAAGTTTTGGGTGAAAATCCCGCATTAAAATAATGAAAAACAGGCTTAAAATGAAGTCGTAGTCGAAAACTAGGAAAAACTGGGCTTCCTGCGAGACCTCTCGGTCCCGGCCGAGGTTCGGCCCCATTTGGTCATTGGCCGAAGGCGAAATGGAGCGAAGGTATGAGAGTTCGGCCGGAAGGTGGCTTCGGTTCTTCATGGGAGGTTCGGGCCCGAAGGCTTCGGGTTCGGTCCTGAGGCTTCGTTATCGGACCTGGGGTTTCGCTTCTTAGCAGTTCGGTCCTTAAAGGGACTTTCGGCTCTAAGAGGGTTCGACCCTATAGAGTAGGTTTCGGGTCCTTAAGCCTATTTTACTCGTTTTCGCCCTGTTTTAAGAGGATTTTGACCTGGTTAAGGGTCGGGATGAGCCGAATGATTTCAAAAAGTTATAGGAACTTTTGAGAGAGATTTGGGAGAGATTTCCCATAGAGAGAGATAAAGTGAAAATGATCGAGAGAGGTTTCGTTTATGACACTTTTGAGTGTCCGACTTCACAATGCATGGTCCGTAAACCCTGTTAAGCCATGTTTAAGGGTCCTACACATTCCCGATGAGTATGCAGCATTGTTTTATCGGTTTGGTTCATTACTTACCACAATTTTAGGTTAAGGAAATCTAGATATACAAACTTTTTAATTGATGATTTCTCATTAGAATAGCGAGTTGTAGAGTAATTACATAACGCAAACCTTAGTATACAAGGGTTAACTGAGTTGACCAGTTTGACTTGTTGAGTTTGTTTGACTTTGACTTGACTAGAATTTGATGGTTGTCACAATTTTCGAGGGGGAATATGGTGGAAACTCGCGTTTGGAATCACGAGTGTATCCGTGCTAGGTCTATACTCTGGGAGACTATGACATAAGTGAAGGATCTTTTGGTTCAATGTGCGAGTCGCAAGCTCCAGGCGGAAGGTGTAATGTCATCATAATGGTGTAATCGAAGGGTTGTTGGGTTAGAGTGTCCATGTCTTTCAGCTTCTGGGAACCGGGTTAGATCTTCTCCTAGTATTCCGCATGTTGCTTTGTGGAAATCACCTGCAATATTGTATACTATGAGAAAATAGTAGGTGACAGGGAGCTGTATGATTGATGTTTGTCGGTGTTATTTGCATACTTGATCCTGATGGTCTCTTCGAAGACATATTGTGTTTAGTTTGGTTGAGGCGGTCATACTCTACGTAGTAGGCCAAGATACCCGGTGCAGGCCGATTGTAATTCGTAGGCACGGAGGCCCAGGAGGAGTTGATTGGATTCGACATGTTGGTATTCCAGCCCGAGGCTGATCGGGCCAGTCATGGGTGTTTGCGGTTACGAGTTAGCAACGATGTGTATATTGGTTTGGGAGTTAAAGGAAGCATTTTCGATCGTCACAAAAAGGTTCATCTCCCAGTTTGTCTCCCATTGTTCACGTTATCCTTGGAAAATTTTTCATAAAATTAGCTTCCTTTGGAAGGATTCTCGAATCTCTTTTGTCCGGTATAGATTTTTCGGCAGCAGCGTATGATCTGTGTTTCTATTTTCTGGTAGGAACCTCTAGTTTCTAGGGTTGAGTAATCAGTTTAAGGGATAATGGGAATGGAATCAGTGATGGTTAGTATTGAAGCTCTGTCAGCGAGTCAGATCAATTCGATACCTAAGTTTGGATAAGTATAAGGATTGGGACTTTTCATAGGATCATGGATTGTTTCCTCCAGGTTGGCAGTTTTTGTTTGGTTTTGATTGTTCGAGAAGGCCGTTTATGTCCGAGTGCGTTTCTCGAGTGGTTGTTTTGTTGTGCGTATTGGTAAGGGGCGAATTCAGTGACGAGCTCTAATTTATGTGTAAATGATCTGCAGTTGTAAATGATCAATGATCTCTTCCCTCTAAGCATCAAAGTAAATTGGGTTGGACTTATTTGTTTCAGATTGAGTTGTTATGGAATTGGTTTGGTAATGAATCAGAGCGAGTGGTCTTCCAGGAAGTCAGGCCAAATTGAGATTCCAAGTCTTAGAAGAGATAGAGGTGGTTCTGCGAGTGTTTAAGGCCGTTCTTCTACAATATGGTGTGTTTTTCTAGGGGTGTTTCGAGTTGCCTTGGGGAGGTAATAGTTTTCTCAGGATATGGTAGCGCGGCTAAGATTATGTAGCGTGATGAGAAAGGTAAAGATGGAATTCGGGGACGAAATCCAATTTAAGTGGGGGAGAGTTGTAACATCCCAATCTTCAGGTATTGATTAATATATATATATATATATATATATATATATATATATATATATATATATATATATATATATATATATATATATAGGGCAACTCGTCGTGTTGAATTAACAAGGGCCACATATTATTCAAGACCTACTCCATGAGTTGGAAGGCCCCAACTAGATGAGTTGATGGCTGAACATAAAACCCTAATTTTTAGGGTGTTGTACCCTATTTAAGGACTGTATACTCCTTGGGGGTCTCCTTATCACCCCTTTTTTCCAGAGAAACCCTAGATAAAACTAAGCAAGGAAAACGGGGTATAGAGCTGCTAGAAAACACTCAATAAAATTAAGATAAACATAATCCCTATTTATAATAAAATCCTAAACAAACACAAAAATTGTGAGGAAAACGTGATATAGAATTGCTTGGATCAATAAGAGTTGTGAAACACTTTCAGATTAAAGTATTTTGAGGGTACACTCGAAAATCTCTTGTAACATCCCAATCTTCAGGTATGAATTTAAAGGTATATATATATATATATATATATATATATATATATATATATATATATATATATATATATATATATATATATTCAGGGCAACTCAACAAGTTGGGAGGCACCAACTCGTCGTGTTGAATTAATAAGGGTTGCGTATTCTTCATGACCTACTCGACAAGTTGAAGGGCCCCAACTCGACGAGTCGGTGGCTGAACATAAAACCCTAATTTTTAGGGTGTTGTACCCTATTTAAGGACCTTATACTCCTTGGGTGGCCTCCTTATTGCTCCCTTTGTCCAGAGAAACTCTAGTTTTTCCATTCCCTCTCATTTTGTGTGTGTGTGAGTGTGTGAGCGTGGAGGGTGATTTTCGCTACTCTTTTGGAAGGAACTTGGAGCTTGAAGAGGTTTAATTGCGTGGAAGGCATTAGATCTGGGATCTTCTTTGCTGTTGCAGTTATATTGAGGTATAAAGTCATTACCTTGATCATTTAGTTGCTAGATCACTTCATTTGAGGGTTTATGGTCATTATTGGCCTATATTAGAGTCATTCTTGGATTTGAGCATGCCATGAAGCTATGACTTCAGATTTGGTCATCTCATGGCCTCCTTGGACTTAAAGTTGCTAACTTTATCAAGTCTTGGCCCTCCTTTATACTCTAAGTCCCTTAATAAGCTTTGTTTGAGTGTTTTAGCCCATTGATGCCATGCATGCACGTAAAGATAGCAACTTTATGTGGTATCTTAGTCCTAGGGAACCATATCTATAGTTTGGGGCATTAGACTCGCTTAGAAAGTGGTTGAATGTGTTAAGACGGGGCAAACTCGACAAGTTGGCTCGGGGGTTTCCCAGATCTTCTAGACATTATACGAGCTCGATGAGTTGTCTTTTCGACTCGGCAAGTTCACAGGGTTTTCACGATTATTTGAGTTCCGAAGGAACTCAACGAGTTGGGTCAACATGGACAGTTGACCTTGACTATTGACTATGAATCTGACCATGGTTTATTGATTTGAATTTGAGGGTATTTCGGGACTTTGATAGAGGTAGTCACATGTTGGTTGTAGGCATTTGAGTCAGGTGTGGAAATCGGAGTTATGGATCTTATCGATCAGTGCTACTTGTGAGGTGAGTTTTCCTTACTGTGCTAACAGGGTCTAAGGCACCAAGGTCGGGCCTTTGGATCATTATCCTGATTTATCATATGACTGAGTACTGTGATGATATGTTAGATTTGCATCATGGTAGGTAGGATGATGCTATTCTTAGTGATCTGTTAGATCTGCCTGTTATCTGTTATGGCTATATGTATATCGGTCATATGTGTTGATGTAGTTGGGCTGGGTTGAGACTGTACTGCTTAGTGCTCCCAGTCAACAACCCCGTAATGTTTGTATCGGTACATTATATGTATGATTACTGTATGTGCTAGGCAGCGTTTGATATATATATATATATATATATATATATATATATATATATATATATATATATATATATATATATATATATATATATAGGTTCACTTGTTTAAACTAAGTATTGTGTTATCGTATGCATAAATGTGGGCCAAACAAAATTAAATGAAAAAAATAAATAATTAAATAAATAAATAACAGTAAATTAGTCATTTGCTCAATAACTTCCAAAAATAATCCCTATAATCATGGTATCTCTCCAGTTTAAATCTCCTTCCCCTCTTTATCTAAAAACCGATTTCTGAAAACCCTAAATTGAACAAATTGACACCCCCACCCTTGTCCATCTAGCCATCATTTCCCCTTTATTCCAGTCTGCATCAGGTTCTGATTCTGGCTCGGAGTCGGACGGCGAAGCTCAAGCTGCTCTCGAATTACAAACCCTAGAAATGGAGCTCTCGACAAGGACCAGTGAAGCAGCGACGCAGGTGAGTATAAAAACTATTGGGAGACAAATATGTTTCTCTAAACCGAAGAATTCAATAGGTAATCATACTAATTAACTAATCATATGATCTCCTCGTTTTCTCTTTGTTGTATAAACCTGAATCCATTGTTTTCTTCTACAATTTCTGAAATACAGTTGGGGCGGATTGGAGGTAACATTTTCCGGCTACTGTGATTCAAGTTCGCCAGACGGAACTCAGTCATCAGCGGCCTCCAAGGGATGATTATTCAAGAGGAGATAATGAAACTAGAGTCTCAAAAATCAGAATCTGGGGTTTACAAATTTGATCAGGACACAGTTTTCATGTCAACGGAAAAATCAAAGAAGAAAAGGATTCAACAATCTCCAGATACAAGTGATTCAAGGGCCTTTCCGATTGAAATTATTGAAGTAAGTCAAAGTCTTGAACTGTTTTTACATACTCTCATGATTTTATCTCAAATTGATGATTGTGTTAAACTGTTAATTACAGTTAAACGTGTCATACGTAGGATAGAAGATATAATTGGTGAGTTTGAAATGTAGGAAAAGAAGAGACACGGTGGTCAAGATTTGTGAGGTTTTTGAATCTTTGAAGCTCAATGTTGTCACTGCCAACATCACTGCTTTTCCTGAGACCCTTTTCAAGGCACTCTTCATTCAGGTTTGCACTAGAAAACATACACTTAGGTGGTGTTTTCTTGACTGAAAACGAAGAAGAGAAGGAATGTAGGGGTGATTTTTCTTTTATATTAAATATTGATTGTGAATCGATGCAGAAAAGAATAGAGAATGGAAGAGTGTTTATGTAGATAATTCAATGGATGAAATTGGTGAGATTCCAATTCTATTGGAATGGAATCAAAAATTCCAATTCTATTGGAATGGAAAGACGAATTCCAATTCTGTTGGAATCACACATGTTGATGCTTGAAGAACAGACCACAAAATTAAAACGAACCACATTATGCTTGTAGAATGTATTAGTCGTTGTTAGATTTTGATGTTTTCTTTCCCGTTTTGATTGTTTTTTAGTTTTATTCCTTAACAATAAATGTAATTCCTAACAATTGTTACCCGTATTCTATAAGAAGTAATGTGTTTTTTGTTTTTATTCTTCAATTGATTATTCAAGGATTTGTTATTCTACAAGTTTTTAAAATCATGATCAAGAAATAGGTTCAACAATATTTTTATTATCTATGGTTCAAGAATATTTTTATTTTTGAATATAATCATAAACATATTCTGTCAGAATGCCCGAATTAAAAAAATTATAATACGTAAAATCGGATTTTTAAAATTAATAGAATTTATGATCCCTTAAAAAATGCACTTTTACTTTATTAAATCTATATTAATTGACTAAATTACCCTTGTAATTAATTAAGATTATATTTTCAATTATATTTAATTCAATAATATATATTAATAACATTCTTAAAATAAGTAAATTTGATTGGCCCACATTTATGCATACAATAACACAATAATTATATTGAATAGAATAACCTAGGCCTATATATATATATATATATATATATATATATATATATATATATATATATATCGCTATATATATATACATACATACATACATACATACATACATATATATATATATATATATATATATATATATATATATATATATATATATATATAGTGATATTGTGTGATGACAGGTGGGTTCAGGTGGTCCTGCTTTGTGCTCAAGGACAACAGACCCACGACGGCCTGTATAGACTGAAGGCCCAATGGGGCGTACCAGTCAGGCCGAAGGCACAAAGAACGGTTCAAACAGGATGATGGCCCGGTGTGGGCGGTTCAGACATGTAGAAGGTTCTGAGAGTGGGCCAGACAGGCTGAAGGCCTAGTGATGTGGTCCAGGCATGCTGAAGACTCTGTATCCAGACAGGCTGAAGGCCTGGTGAGGCGGTCCAGACATGCTGAGGTCTCTGTATACATGCTGTTTATTGTATATGTGTTATTGTTGTGCGTTGGTTCTTTAGGGCAACTTAATAAGCTTCGTGCTTATAGTTTTGATTTATGGTTTCATGTATTATAGTGGATCTTGGCAAGGTGAAGGCATGACCTTAAACATCCTCGTGTTTTAGACTTATGATTTATGGGATACTCTGATAATGAAAATGTTTTGGAAACTATGTTGTAAATGACTCTGATTTTAAATAATGTTTTTGGACACAATGGTTTCGTAAACACTTTTTAGAGAAAGGGTTGTTTTGAAAAAGTTTAAATTTTATTGAATTTTTATGGATGTTATATCACTAATCAGATAAAACTCATTGTTCTAGAGAGAGAATGAAGAAGATGTTATGATGAAAAGCATTCCAATCTGATTTCGAAATTGATCATATAACAGGGACCTAACTTCATGTCTTAAAATTTCCATCTGACATTTATATGAATGTAACTTCCTGTCCAAAACCTGTCACATAAACTGTCACAAACTAACTTCTTGTCTTAAAACGGAACCCCGTCAGTTCAGTGGCTTCACCCCTAAATATCAATGAACTTTTAACCAAGACAAACTTAAACAAATATGAACTCCGCACCATAATAACTTATTAAATATTTATCAAAGTAACATTCATCAATAAATAAATCCCATTACACTTCAATAAAACTAGTGATACAAAATCACCTACAAAAACTGCATAAAAAAGAATGTTTTCCAAAACACCCTTGGCTACAAATTTCCTAAATTTTGAATTACTCCACCATTTTCTCTCAAAATTCAAAATCATGCACCATATTCATGTAACATCTTAATATCAAGCTATTTTCATTTTTAACACTAAGTATGAGAAATAATTGCATTTTGGGCCCTTATTAAAATTTTTGTACTTTTTGGAAGTGGGGTACTTACGCTGGGCATACGTGGCCATGGTGCAAACCGTAGTTCTTAGGGTATGGACCCTATTTAAATATCCTTAACCCCCAATTCTTCTTCCTTTCATTAACCCAAAGTCCCATTTCAACCCCCCTTGCAAACCCTAATCCATTTGAGAGCATTTGTGAGCCTTTGAGTGTGTTTTGGTGATTTTGAAGGAAGGAGAAATAAGAGGAGGTCATCTTGGAGAAGTGGGACTCTTTGGATCCAGAATAACAACATCATTTTGTTGGGTCAAAATTATGGTTTATACTTTGCTTTTCCAGGAAATTGTATTTTTCTGTAATGTTTTATGAGTTTATGGTCATGTTTACGGCCAGGGAGGTGTTTACGGCCGTAAACCGACTTACGACCATAAACAGGTTTACGGTCGTAAACCCATTTACAGCTCATGATTCTCATCTATATATATAGGGTGAGGGGTGTGAGGAAGGAACGAGATACTGTAGAGAGAGATAGTTGAGAGGAGCTTTAGTATGTGTTAGTGTGTGTGAATCTTCTATCTGGATCTTCATTCATATCAAATCATACAGGATTCATCATCATCTTCTTCTCCTTCTCTTCTATTAGATCTGGCATCATCCGTTTGATCAGAATTTCGCACCATCAAGCGGATCTGATTGATACACAAGTAGATCAGGCACTTACAAGTGGTGTCAGAGCTTGGATTGTGTCAGTCAAATTTGTCAGATATGGAGCTTATTTTATCTTATTTTGGAAGGATTCTTGCATTTTTGGATAGATCTTGGCAAATTAAGGGGGGGGGGGGTTTCTTTGCTTTTTTGATAAAAACGAGTTTTTGAACGAGTTTTGTAGCAAAAAGGGGTGAAAAATGTTGTTTTCACGTAATCGCCGAAGTTTACGGTCGCCGGAGTTTGTGGATGGAGTTTACGGTCGACGGTTTGTGGGTGGTGGTTTACGGCAACAGTTGCGGCTCAAACGTCTGCAACTCGGCTTGGTGGATTGCGGCTCGGTGGATGGCTTGGTGGATAGCTTGGTGGCTTTCGGCTCAGTAGTAGCGCCCATCTAAAAAATTGCAAACGCATTGGGGGTGTCGGGGATCGAACCCCGGTCTCCTCCAAACTCAACCAGCGCCCCTTCCAACTCATCTAGGCTGTGAGATGATATTCTCCTTCCGTTTTTAATTCTTAAAGATTCACTTTCTTAGTTCCTCTTCCGCAAAATTCAATTTCTTTCAATTTTAAATTTTTTTATTCAAAAATTATAGCTTGTGATTTTTAAATTTCTAAATTGAATTTTGACTTAAAAGTTTGACTTTGACTTTCAAGTTTGACCTTTGACTTTAGACTTTGACTTTTTAAGTTTGACTTTTAAGTTTAATTTTGGCTTCTAGGTCTACAAGGGAATTGAAGACATGAAAGAGAGTCGTCAGGATATGTTAAGACAAAAGTTCAACATGTTCAATTATATCCATGGAGAAACCCTAGAAGCTCAGTTGTAGTGACTTACTAGACTTACTACTGAGATGAATATAGTTGGGATCTTCTTAATTAAATCTGAGATAAACAAAAAGCTGCTGAATTCACTTCTGAAATCGTGGGATATGAACGTGGCTGTCATCAAGAAGACAAAAGATCTCAATAGTCTTAGTCTTGTTGTTGTAACTGAAGAACTTGACGCTTTGAAGTGTGGAAAAACAATGAGTTCCGCACACATCCCGGTAAATGAAGTTTCATGTACTCCATCTTGTGAAGATACGATTAAAATTCTTTGTGAACATAATGATTTGCTAAAAAGGGAAGTTGAGGACCTAAAATACGAAGGATATCAACTTAGGAAAGGACAGAAACCCCTGAAGGCTGAATTAGAAGCAAAAACCAAAGACTTTAGGAAGCTTCAGGAAGATTATAGCAATAAATGTGAAAATTATGACTATGTTAAGAAACAACTTGCTGAATTAACTGCTGAGCTTGACACATTAAAAAGCAAATTTGCAACTGCAGATTTTGATTTTAGAAAATTTGATGTTTCAAGCGAAGTAGTTGCGAACATGATAGACCATTGTTTGCAATTTAAAAATAACCAGCAAAAAGGTCTAGGGTATGATAGTGTTCCTCCACCTTTCAATCATAACTACACATCCATCCCTATGCCACACGAAGAAATTGACAGGGAGGCACTTCTTTAATATGGAAAACTAGTTGGATTTGTGTCAAGAGGTATTCAGGTTGAAAATACTAATGCTTCTACTTCATGTGCAAGTAAAGTAGCAGAGGATGAGAACAAGGAGAAAAACATTGAACAAACCAACATCTCCTTGAACCCTGAATCTGTTGCTTCGAACTCAGCTGTTTCTGATCAACCTGTTGTTGAGAAATACAGGCCACGAATTCCAGTGAAACAGAGTGCCTATTGTAATTGTACTTGTGGGAACAATAAGAGCCAAGGCAAGGATATGCCACCAGGGGCAGGAAGAAACAACTTCACAATGAAGAAAAAGACATGTTTTCACTGTGGAACACCTGGACACATTGCTAGAAATTGTCCTAATTGCGCATACATTCCCTACTATGCACAAGGCTGGCAGAACGCGCCAAGTAGGAGATACTTCAAAAGAAACCCTTCCAGGTCACAATCACGCAATAGTGACTAGAACGTACAGAAGGCCAAGAATCAAACTTCCAAGGTTAAGAATCCAAATCCCAAAGGAAAGAAGGGACTGCCAGCCAAGAAGTCCAATCCAAGAGATGCTCATGTAAAGCCAAGACCGGTTGGGTCAAAATCATCTCGGAAGCCGATTTCGAGTTCAAAATCAAGTTTCGAGGCACCCATCGGATCAAAAAAGAAATCGGTCAAACCCAACTACAAATGGGTTCCAAAGGTTCAATCTCCCAAATCACCTAATAACTCTAATATTTCTACATCTTCTGTTTGTGATAAACAGGACATGTCGTGGGAGAATGTTCCTTGCAAAGATGACAAAGGTCGACCCAATTTCAAAATGGACTAGGTTCCAAAGACCAACTGATCCCACTCTGTGTCGAAGCAGCTATGGAGGC